AATGAAATACAAAAGTGAATATTTGGATGAGCGAGCAATTTGGCTTAATCAAAAACGAACGGATACCGTTGTGAAATAGCATAAAGGAAGTGGGGCCAGTTGCCGGTGATGCTCATATGCGACACTACACAGCGGATTCATTTCCAATGCCAAACCATTTCATCATTTCAAATCGACTGATTGGAAGAGTCTCTCACTCTTCGACTCGATGTTTGTATGGGTATGTGTGTGTGTGTGCTTTGGTTACATTCCATGCCATTTATGAGCATTTTCATTTTCTCTCGTTTACCCGTACCGTTTCTCTCGGCCCTCCCCTCATCACTCGAATGTGCTCGACGCCATGACTTTCTACGATTCAAACATGTTGGTCACTGACGTAACCATTGTTGCTCTATGTCCTTCACTTTCTATCCATTATGCGTCCGTTTAACGGTAAGTATATTTTATAGAAACCATCAAAATGGGCATTTATGGTTAATGTTCGCTCTTTTTTCCCTTCTCTCAAATTGTATTTGTTTTCGTGTGCGTCTGTTCATGGCAGTTTTTCACTGACCATATTCAGTGACGGTATGCGAGCATCGAGATAAATCTAAAACGCGTTATCCGTTTCGCTGCGTATAATTTTCGATGTTAGTGTCGTTGATTTTCAACAAACATTAGCGATAACACGTTACGGATTGTTATTTTCATGTGTATGTATGTGCGTGTCGATGTTCTGGTCGATATTTTACCACCACTGCTGTCGCATCCGGAATTAGCTATTGATTTAAATGGGTGGAAAAGAAGACGGCCAATGGACCAAAATAAATTGTGGTGCACATAATCAACACGGACAATCACACGATAGAAATAATTTACGAAAATTGAGTCGAAATCAAATGCGTTTGGGAGAGAGAAAAAAGCGGCAACGCGTCTTTGTGAACTCAATGAGCAGGCAAAAGGTAGATCAACTCTTTTTTCCTCATCGATTCGAAATGATTACACGGATACGTGCCTACAAAACTGAATCAAACGTTGAATTCAAATGTGTAATCAAATGTAAACGGTTCTTACCTATGCCACCTTTGTTGTACCTCTGCCTCTGCCTCTGCCTCTGCTAATGACTGATGCCACTGGCATAAATTTTAACTACATGCGTGCAAAACACACACATCCATAAATTCTGAAGCACAAAAGTGCTTCAGTTTGAAAATCAATTAAAACATTCAACATTACATTCGAATGAGTGTTTTTTTCCCTCTTTTGACATGATAAAATTTACATATTGGCTTAATTAGATAAAGATAGAATTGGATGTTCTTTTCAACATCAAACCAAAGTTCATGTAGTGTGAAAAAATCCTTCTGGATCTTGGATGATTTAATTAACCACATGCGGTAATCCTCTTCAGTTTTCTCGACAAAGTTCATAATTGCCAGCGCAAACATATCATTATGTATGTGTAACAAATGATCAGCAGGAAAAATGAAATACCATTGGTGAATGTGATGCAATGTAATGCAATGTAATGAAATCTCTATGAAATTGAAAATGCTGTTCGATTGTTGGCATTCGCAATTGAAGAGGAGAAAAAATCAATGTTGGTACAACATACTCGCCCGTAACATAAATTGTCGTTTTTGTAATGGCAACGAGAAAGTTTGTTTTGATGCAGAATGATGCATTCGATAATCATTATTTAAAATACTCTGACGCAACACTGAAAACACAATCCCGTTACGAGAATCAACGGATGTGTGTGTGTTCGCTGCACTTTTTCCGCTCTCACTCTCACTCGCTCTACCACCAATTGACGGGAGAGTGGAAAAAAGGAGCATATTTCACTCTCACAATGTATTTGATCACGTCTTTTATCTCAACTTTTAATTATGTCAAATTGCTTTTAGCATGTGTAATGTTGTGCTTGGCGCGCTAGCTATATGAAGAGTACTATATATGAACTGCTGAGAATAAAAGGCTGACGATTGCAGGTTTTTCGCAAAAGCGGGATAAAAATCAGTCGCACGCAAAAGAGACATTTCAAAAGGTTGCACGCAAGAGAGAAGTATATTGTTGTTGTAATCACGGCTTGAAAATTCGAAATGCGACAAAATAAAATGTTCCGTTTGCGTGCAACCTTTTGAAATGTCTCTTTTGCGTGCGACTGATTTTTATCCCGCTTTTGCGAAAAACCTGCAGCCGTCAACCTTTTATTCTCAGCAGTTCATATATGATTATGCACTGTTTTGAGTGCTTGAAAGGCATCGTCGCAGAGAGTGAGAGTGAGAGTGAGAGCGAGAGGGGGGGGGGGAGAAAGAAGTCACAAGCACTACGGTCGTGTTTCAGTGCACAAGCACATGCACAGCTACAGTTGAGCCAACCATCCAGCCAGCCAGCCAACAAACAAATATTATGTCGAACGCAAACTTTTTGTTTGCATAAAATGGAGTGTTTTTGAAACAATAACAATAATAATGCCGAGTAATTTCTGAACAGACAAGCGAAATTGAACGAAATATTTGCCACAAAGCAACGCAACCACCACACACCACATGGATTGAACATAACGAATGTGGAGAGGATGCAATCACGGTCGATGAGAGGGTGAGGCTGTGGGAGACGGAGAGAAAGAGAGAGTTTTGAAAACAAAACACAGAGATTCACATACAAACACACATGAACACCAGTGTCAAACAAAACCATCGACACGATTACACAAAATCGTTGCTTGCAAGAACAAACATATGAATTATTATTGCCAGAGTGCTTGAAAATGAGGAATGAAGGGAAAAATAGTGCATTACACACACACACACACTCACCCACGTAGAGAAAAATGCGAAACGAAGAGAACCGTTACAAACAATCGGAATATGTATAGTATTGTGTAGTGGAGAAAAAAGAGCGAATATTGTCTAACCATCGATTCGAATATATATTGCATGTGGGTAAACAGAGTGATAATCAGTTTTTTTCCATCTCGCTTCAATTTCGTATCGTGTTTTGAAAAAGTTTGCAAGCTTTCGATATCGTTGACACAGCAAACCGTTTGTTGACGTTCGCATAATGGATTGGGTTCATAGTGAACGAGCTACTCTTGTTCTGGTGTCATGTGACTGAAAAATTGGGACAGATTGGGTTCCTTTGATCATGAAATTATGCGCATTTGGAGCAAAGTTTTGCTCGTTGTTTTCAATATCGACCGGAGGTTTTTTCTTCTCGAAGGAACCCACCATATATTTAAAAATGAATGAAAAAATCTCTACATATAGTTCTTTTTGTCATTGAAATCCCGGATGTTAAAGAATTGTTTAACTTAAGTGATTTCGATGGAATCAACTGAGAGTCGAGTTGTCTCAGATTCACAAGTACGTCATTGAATCGATTCCATTCGTTTCGATTGGATTATTAATACCAATTTACTACGCACATTTTCTCGATTAATAAAACATGCAATATCCTCTTGAGGTCTTGCAAATATCTCAATACATTTTCATTCAATGAAAGATTTCCCAAGAAAAAGGTTACGGTTGACATACTGAGAGTTGAATACCAGAAGTAAAGAAAGAAAAGCCGACACAGGTATCACAAGAATGAGGCTGCAGCATTCAGTTTGATCCAATAGAATTATGAAAGTGTATTTGAGATGCTCTGAATTATTAACATCCGTTTCTTGTCAATACGGTGAATAAATTGTGACTGTGACCCATTTATGAGATTTTATCGAGCAATCGAAGTAAATGCCGCAATAAAGGAAGATTACTATCCATTCAATTATTATTTATTTATTGCAATTTGTAATACAATATGTTTCCACGAACTCAACTATGGTGGTTGATGAAGTTTATGGAATTTCGAATCAAATAAACTTTGCATCTTCCTTCAGAATACTTTCAGTTTAATTACCGCTTTACAATAATACCAATCATAACGGTGTATTTCGAAATGAAATTAAGAGAGTGGAATTCTTTTTATAAGAATGTTTTCATTTCCATTTGCATTAAACAAAAGATTGTAAATTTCAACATCGATTGATTGAAAAAATACTTCATTCCATCGACAAAAAAACAATCGATAAATTTCTATGCTTCATCATCATCATCATTACGGCACTTTATTGCAGCTATGTGGAAGTATAGTAACAACAACAGCAGCAGTCATCATATCAATCGATTCAATTGGCTGTCAGAACATCATCATTTATGACATGCTACTGTTGAACTTGCAATGACGTGCTACTGTTGAATCTATCTGTATTTTCATTAACACATTTGAGTGCAACCGATCGTTTCTTTCTGCTCATAAAATGTTCATCTGAGAAGAAAAAAAACTTTCTATATATTTTCCCTTAACCAATAAATATGCATAGTAAGTGAATCAACTTTTTTGCTCTCACTGCCGCTGGGCATCATCTTCTAACTAGTTTACCGTTTTTACGAGCAAACACTTTTGCATTACATCCAAAATAAATTATACCATTGACATTACTTTTTCTCTGGTTTAGTTCTAAATGTTCTTCAGCCTCAAGCTTATTTAATGAGAAAACACTGATTACTTAATCACGTTTTTCCATCGCCGAGTGCACAAATCCAATTTTATATGAAAATAAGGAAGTTTAGAGAGTTAAATGGAGTTTTTTTTATTGAAAAGTAAATTACATTATTATACGATTTTGTCTGATTTTTTCATTCCATTTTTGGTGAGCGAACGAATTTAAGAAATATTCTAGGTTTTTTGGTGTTTTAAAATCTTTTTCCATTTATTCTGAACGATTTTAGAGTTTGATTGAAACGGATTCACTTCATTGCGACTTTTTCTATTGATGACTCGATAAAATGTAATGAATTTATGTTGTCCAAAACAAATCGTTTCCACGACTGAATTCAACATGTTTACTACAAGCAAAAAAAAGTCTTGGTCCGACATTGAAATGTATTTCTTTTTGTGAATAAAAATGAAAACCAATCGTATCGAGTGTGCGTCGTTTCAGTTTCAATTGTAGCATATATGAATCTGTCAAAGTAGACAGAGGAAACGAAAAATTGTGTGACATGAATTTTTCGATTCTGAAATCGTTTTGAAAATGATAAAAGATTTAACAAAGTGTCAAATTTCAAGATGTCATGCTCACGACAGTCGGCCGATCAAAAGATGTTTTTGGAACGTTTTAATCAAAATAAACCATCGTCATTGCCCGATTTTCACATGTACCAGAAACAACGAATCATCGGCAGGGGAGCATTCAGTTCAGTGTATTTGTACAAACATAAAAAGACGGGAAAGTTTTTCGCTTGTAAACGCCTTGACAAAGAGCATCTTGTGAAACAAAATATGGTTGATCAAATATTGACCGAAAAAAAGATTCTACAGGCGGCGGATTGTTCGTTTGTTACACAATTGCTATTTTCCTGGAAAGATAACGATTTCATTTATTTCTTCATGCCATTCGTTGGTGGCGGTGATATGCTCACATTTTTGATAAGTCAACGAAAATTCACGGAAACCGTATGTCGCTTCTATTCGTCGCAATTGTTAATCGCAATCGAGTATTTGCACGCCATGACTGTGGTTCATCGCGATATCAAACCGGAAAATGTTTTGATCGATGCCAATGGCTATATAAAATTGGCTGATTTCGGAATGGCACGCTGTGCTACGGAACCGCTGTGGACATTTTGTGGGACGATGGAGTATATGTCGCCTGAAAGTAGGATTCATACAATAATAGCAATAATAATAACCGATTAATAATTGACTCTTTATATTTCTATGCTATTGACATATCAGTGATACAAAGCAAAGGTTATGGCATGTCGACGGACTGGTGGGCATTCGGAGTTTTTATCTACGAAATGGCCTTCGGTAGGAATTCATTCGAACTTATTATAATTGCAAAAGAATTTTATCGAAATATTTTTTTTTTCTTCAAATGATTAAAGGTCGAACCCCGTTTTATCCGTATCGCATGGATCAAACACTTCTGTTTGGCAAAGTGCTTCGGGCTCAATTCGATTTACCGAAGTCGTTTAGTACGGATTTAAAAAATTTACTCGGACGATTGTTGATTGTTGACATTACACGACGCTATGGATGCTCCGACCAAAATTTAAAAGATATCAAGGCCCATAAATGGTTTAGCCAAATAAAATGGAATGAGATCGAAAGACAAAGTGTAAAGGCACCTCTAAAACCACTCGTTAAAGAGGCTGGAGACACATCAAACTTCAGCTTTTACACCGAAGAAAGTATGCGGAATTCAGGAGTGTGTCATTATGAGAAGGAGTTTTCCGAATATTGACTGCAATGGATTTTAATTTAAAAAAAAAAAACATAAAACAGTTTTTGACCGATTTGCGCCGCAAAGAAGTGCTATCAAACTATGATTGTCATCGCTATCACAGAGATGCATCCACACAAATCATTAGAATAAGATTTCGTTTTCTCTGGATGAATAAATGATCATTTTAACAATAACTCACCCGAATAAGTACAATCGTGTTCTTCAAAATTAAAATAATACAATTTTACTCGATTTCAAAATCATCACACACACCAACTGCAAAGAAAAAATTCCGCCTTGTGGCAGTATTTTGGCGAATCCAGGCCTGCAACATATTTCATGAAGCATTTCCTGGTAATATTTAATGGGATTTTTTTCCACGCTCAATTCATTCATCATATAATATTCAAATTACGTCTGCTTGCTTTTGTTTTCTTTTAAAATTGCGCCATTATGATATCCCATACCGCCTCCCGAAAGAACAACAGTCATTCAAACATTGTTATGAATTTTCAGTCGTAATACACACACACACACACACACACACCGAATGGGAAAAGCATATGCGTGCGATAAGTTTGAGTGAACGCGAGTTGCACATCAAATATGTGTGAAATGAAAAACAGGCAGGCAGGCAGGCAGGCAAGCGAAAAAAACGGGCATATTTTAAAACGATAACGCTGAGAGTCGTTTTGTGGTTAATTTATTATATCTTGCACGTTCGCTACGCAAGTTTGTCTTAATATTTAACGTTTTTTGTTTCTGCTGTTGCTTCTCTTAGCCAAGTAAATAATAGGAATTGAAATTACACGGTGGTGGGAGCAAACAAACGGCAAAGATACACTATTTGCATATTTTCATAAGGGCATTACGTTAAGTCGTATCAGAGGGGAATAATTCGTTGGTGGAAATATTTAGCGCTAATTTTTCGCGTAAAACTGACCGCACATTCCCATCGGGATCGTTTATCGTGAGCTACATGTTACGTGTGAATCCAATTGAATAACTGCCGAGTGCAGCCGCCATCATTTTATCCATTTGGCTATGCCATTGCTGGGTTTTTTTCTTCTTCCGTCTATCCTACCGTCGAATCACACTTTACATTTTATTAAAAGTAAAAAATGGTTTGATATTTATTAGAATTTACGTCAACCGTCGATTTCATCTTTTCGACATCGTTAGTTCTTTCTTTTCTTCTTTCATTCCCGTTTCTATTCGTTCTCATTTTATATTTCCAATTACAGACTTTCACAAGTTGATTTCAAATTTTTGCTCCTTCTACTGCCATTTAAGTGGCATAAATGTGTCATTTCTTCTTTCTTTTGCTCTCCCCGGATTCACTTCGTTCTTCTCTCTTTGCCATCATCTGTCATATTTTTCCTATTTACGTACCAATTTTTATCTCTCGGTTGCATTTTGCATACCGAATCGCAGGCGAATGAGAGCGCGCGCACTCCCGCACATGCTATTTTTCATTGTGGCCCATAGTGCTTGCGATGACATACGCTCGACAGCTTGATTTGCGAACTTGAAGAAAAATACGTTGGCATAATTCACTTTCCCACCATTCCTTGGTGTGGCTTGGGCTTCTTTTTCTCTCTCGTTCATTCTTTTTCGCTCTCTTTCTCTGCCTCTGTTCAACTTTTGCAAAACTGAAAAATCACGTGCACTATGTATGCTTCGTACCATTTTTCCACAATTTTCTTTTCTTTTCGTTGGTGCGTGTTTGTGTCGACGGTGGGAAAAGTTTGTTCGACGCTACTGCACCAGACACTACTTCTTTTGAAAGCATAAACATCAATATGAATGTCATTTGATACATTCAAAGTTCACCATAAATTCTCTGCTTCTTAATGCAGATTTGCGATCAAATCTTTCTTTTCGAAGCCCGTCATAAATTATATCATACTTCATTCGTGGCCATTCTGAGCCATTCACTTTGACGTTCTTATTGATTCAAAGGTTATGTTGCAAATGTATTAGCCAGCTGGCTTTCCTTCCGAGTAAAAGAAATCAAATAAAGAAAAATCGCATGTATTTTCTACGTCAATTCCTACAAACTAGTGGTAAAATGAGAGCCAAATAGCGTCTGCAAGTGGTACGATATGATGTTTTGAATGAAAGAGAAGTCATATATGTGCAAAAGTTCACATTAATTAACTTTTAATTGAGTGGTGATTATCGAGAATTTCATGCTTCATAATTTCATTTGTGAGAGGTAAGAAGACCATTTCCTGAGAAAAATAAACTGCGTTTCGTATTTAATTCAGTTCGAAATGTTTACTATTTCTGAGTTCCCCGTCTGTTCACATTAATTTATTTATAGAACGAAAAAATTGGGTTTTCAGTAGGGAAAAAAATGGTCGAAATTCAAATATGCCAAATGCAATTTAGAATTGTACACCATTGAAATCTATTTGTTCAACTAGAAGAACGAGAGGAACTACTATAAAAAAACAGCATGGAACATGTGAATTTGTGGAGCATTCGAAGAAAAAGTGGGTAAAAATGAGCATATCTGTACCGAATTTGAATAGTGACGGTGAATAGAAAAGGCGGTGCAGCATATATAGCAACGGCTATAGTCGACAACACATTTCGTCGAGTAATTTTGGGAGTTCCGGTGATAAATATACTTTCTCTCTCATTCTCATATGCTGTTGATTTGTTGCTACGCTCATGGTAGGGCGTTTGGGACACCAGCACTTACACACACACACACACACACACACACACACACACACACACACACACACACACACACACACACACACACGCACACACACACACACACACACACACACACACACACACACACACACA